ATATATTATTTTTCTTTTACTATTTTTATATTATTTTTTATTAATAAATTAATTTTTTTTTTTTAATATTATTTTACTGTTTTTTACTTAATTTTTTATTTTCTTTTTTATTTTTTAAAATAATATAATATTATTTTAATATATATAATGATTTTCTCTGATGTATTTTATATTTCTATTTAAAAAAAATAAATAAATAATTATATGTTTTTATTTTTTTATCAACATCTATTATATTTTAATATAAATAAAATTAACTTTTTTAGCAACTAATAAATGATTATAATATATATTTTTTTGATTTTATTATAATTTTCTTTTTATTTGAATAATATTTTATTATATTATGTCTATAAGAAATTAAATAATCCTAAACTCAATTTTTTAATATGAATTAATTTTAATGTTTTAGACAATTTTAATATCAATTAAATTAAATTTTGCAAGGTAATTATTATAAAATAAGTATTATATGATTTGTTAAAAATTTTGTTGTTTTTTTTTTCTTAAATTTAAAATTTATTATTATTTTGATAAATAAAAATTTTAGATATTATTTTTTAATAAATATTATATGTCTATATTTTTAAAAAGTAAATAATAATTGAGTTTTTCATTAATTTAAATAATATATTTATATAAATAATAAATAAATACTCAAAAGAAATTTTTATGTAATTTTATATAAAAATTATAAAAATGGTGTATTTTAATTTAATATTATTTTTAATTAAATTAATATTTTTAATATATAAATAAAAAATTGTTTTTATACTTTTTTTTTTCAATTATCAATCTTTCATACGTATTTTTATTGAGTTATTTTCTCTTTTTTCTTTATTTTAATTTTTAATAAAAACTTTCTTATGCAATTTACATAGTTTTATACGTTTTTTTATTATATCTTTGTAAATCTTTTTCAGACTATATTTATATATTTTTCTACTAAATTTAGATTTACCTTTAAGATCTAAATTTTAATAGTGTAGATTAATCTATATAAATAAATACATAGATCATTATCTAATATTTATATATTTTTTAAATTTATATATATATAAATAGTATAATAATATATATACATATTTAATATATTATTAAATAAATAATTAAATATTATTACTAAAAATTAGCTACTAATAAATAAATAAAAATAAACTTAAGTAAAAAAATAAAATATGCTTTTTAAAAATTTATAATATTAATAGCCTTTAACTAAAACCTGCCGATTTAAATGTCCAGGAAACGAAAGTCATTCAAAATATATAAACTCATATGAAATGTATAAATATCATATTTTAAATTGTAGAATACTGGATTAATATTAAAAAGCTTTCATTTGTAAATATTGTTATTAGATTTATTTACATATTCATGATAGAAATAATCATTAATAAACTTGTGATTATCGTTTACATTATGAGAATGAGGTTTTAAGAATTCCAAAGAATCTTTTTGGTAAGTATAGTGATAATGAGATTGTTTTTGAAGAAAAAAATGATTTATAGGAGATTATAGGATGTTTTCCATAAAAAGAAGCTATAATTGGAGGAAACATAAGAAAGCAAGAAGAAGTTAAGGGCAAAGAAGAGAGAAAAATATTAAAAATTATTTAAAAAAAAAAGAAAGTCCACAAAGCTTTTTTATTGGAATAAAATGGAAATAAGTATGAGATTATTTTAGATGAGGAAATTGTGAGTAAAAAATTCAATTAAAATATTTTTACTTAAAGGGAATTTATAGGAATTAGTTTACAAAAAATTTAAATAAAAAATGAAGAATTCTAAAATGAAGAAAAATATATAATTGGAAGGTTTTTAATAAAAAATGATAAAAAAAACATCGATAATTTTTTACAAAATAATAGTTTTTGTTTTTTAGTTTAAAAAAATATAAAAAATATAGAAGATTTGGAAGAAATAATTAAAGAAAAAAATGGAGATTTATTAAATGAAATTTAAGAATTTTTTAGTATTTTTATTTTATCGTTTTTACCTTTATCTGAAATTAATAAAGATAATATTATTTTTTTTAAGGAAAAAATGAGCGTTTTTTTATATAAATTTTAAGGATATTTTAAAGACGGCATTATTATTTTAGATTAAAATATAGGAGTAAGGGTTATGGATCAAATTTAAGAAGAAAAAGTAAAAAAATATTAATAAAATTTGTTTTTGGTATAGAATAGTAAGGATTAAGACTTTTTAAAGAAATAAAAGGAGATTTTAGAGAGAAAAATATAGAAAAATAAGGAGGTTTTATAAAATTTTAATGAGAGGAAATTTATTTATTTAAAAGAGAAAAATTTAAAGGAAGAAATAATTGAAAAAGAAGTTTTCTAAGTGAAGAATGAATAAATAGAAACTAAATAAGAATTTTTTATTTTGGAATAAAAAATGGAGATTTTAATTAAAGAAGTAAAGAATTATAAATAAAAGCTATAAATGGAAATCGAGAAAAAGCTATTATTTTAAAAAGAAAAAACCGATATTTTATACAATTATTAAATTAAAAAACATATATAAGAAATCGAAGTACTTGCTAAAGAAAATTTAGATGAGAAAATAACATTTTTGGAAAATCTGAAAAATAAAAACATGAAATTAAAAGACGAATAATTAAATTAATTTAATATTTAAAAAAAAATTGGAGAAACCTATTTAGTTTTATACAAAAAAAATTAAGAATTAGAAAATTCTAAAAAAATTAAATCTAAATTACTTACTTAATAATAAAATTAATCCAAAACATAATTCTATTGCATTTCTTGTAAAGAAAATCCTTAGGAAGTTTTCTAAAAACCATGCGGGCATATATGTTATTGTTAAGGATGTATGTTATTTTATAATTAGAAAAATAATATAGTTAAATGTAAAGTCTGTTAGATTGAAATTATTAGTTTTTTTATTTTAAATTATAAATCTTGACTTTTTTTTATTTATTTTTTTAAATAAACTAATTTAAGTGGGGGGGGGGGGGGGAAAAACATAAAACAAAAAAACAAAAAAACATAAAAATAAAGATATATATAAAAAATATATTTAGATTTATATATTAACAAAAAACTAAATAAAATGAAAAAGAAACAATTTCCAACCGAAGAAGAATTAAAATCCCAAATCGAACAAGAAATAAAGAAAGTCTCCGATATACAATCGCCTAGTTTAGGTGTATTAAAAACTATATATTCCTTAATGGATTTAACTTCATTAAATTCCACAGACGGACCTTTATAAATTCAATAATGGATTGAGAAAAACATAATAAAGGTTTTAGAAAAACATAACGACTTAAAACCAGCAGCAATATGCGTATATCCTAATTTCGGAAACTAAGTGAGTAAAAAAGTGAAGAAATTAAAGATAAAAACCGCTGTAGTGTCTACTAATTTTCCCACAGGATAAACTTTTAGTGAAGTGAAAGAATTAGAGACTAAAACTGCAATTTAATAAGGAGCTTAGGAAATCGATATGGTTGTAAATAGAGGATTTTGGAATGAAGGTCTATGCGATAAAGTTTTAAAAGAAATTAGAGACTAGAAAAAAATTTGCGGGAAATAAGTTAATTTGAAAGTCATTTTGGAAACTTGTGAAATATAGTCTTTAGAATCTATATATAAACTCGGTTATTAGGCTTTGGAAAATGGAGCGGATTTTATCAAAACTAGTACTGGAAAAGGTAAGCATGGAGCTACATTGGAACATTTTGCAGTTATGTGTCTAGCTTTAAGAGATTTTAATTAATAAAGGAAATAAAGTAGGGGTATTAAGGCTGCAGGGGGGATTTAAGATAGTAAAACTGCAGGATAGTTTTATTAATTGGCTATAAATTTATTAGATAAGGTTAATGGAGATAATTTGAGATTTGGAACGTCAAGCTTAGCTGAAAAATTAATTAAAGATATTGAGTTATTAGAAGAAAAAAATAGAATTTGGAAGAATAGGAAGGATAGTTAGAAAAAAAATAAAAGGTTAATGATAATCATTAATAAGAATAAAATGATTAGGAATAAAAATAGAAAAAACAATAAATACAAGAATATTGATTTTTTTTTTTATATTTTTTATTATAAATAAATGTATTAGATATTTTTTTATATTTTTTATTTTTTTAAATTTTATTATTTTAATAAATTAAATTTAAATATTAATTTTAATTGTAATATATTATTATAAAAATGTATATTTTAAATTATATAGGATTTAATATAATATATAGTTTTATAAATTAAAAAAGGTCTAATATTTATATAATTTATTTAATATAATTACAAAATAAAAATATAAAATAGCGAATAATTATCAAAATAATATAAAATTATAATATAATAGTATTATATATATAACAAAAAAATAATAAAATATAAAATAATTTATAATTAATAAAACTAAAACAAAATAGAATACAAAATAATAAAAAATTAACAAAAATTAATATATATAATATAATATTTATATTTATATATATATAAAAAATATTTTATAATTTTAACTTTAATAAAAATCATTCTATTGAGTTTTATTACTACCATTAATAAGCAAATCTTTTACTTTTTAAAAACTAGTTATTATTTTTCTAATTATTTATATTTCTATCACTTACTAGTTATTAACTCCAAACTAAATTATTATTTATAAAATTTTATTGCTAAATTTATTTTTTAACTGATTTATATTAAGCATTTTTTAAATTTTATTATTTATTATTTCTTTAGATTGAAAAATGTGCCTAAAGTGTTCTTTATACATAATTATACTTAGAGGGACTTACAGAAGTACTCATATCTCTTATAGATGTTTTACTTTAAGTATATTTTAATTTAAAATTAGGAGAATTGATATTTTAATTTACAATATTTAAATTTGTTTTATTTTCCATTTTTTTTAATCCTATTTATTAATCACATAATTATTTTATAAAACAAAATTCTTCTATAAAACTTTTCAAATCTTATTTAAGTCTATATTTTTTTTAAATTTTTTATTTTTTTTTAAATAAATTACTTATAATCAACTATTTCAAGACTTTTTTTATTAATATTAGTAATATTTAATTATATATTTTTTATATTAAAAAGAAGTGTTTCATATATAAAATGATCTTTTATTAAAATCTCGGTACTATTAAGATTAGGATTACTTATATTCTTGAAAGCTTCCTATATTATATTTTTAATTTCTTTAATATCTTTAATTAACATGTCATATTTATTTAATGAAGAATCATATATTTTGATAATCTATTCTTCGAGTTATTTTTATTTTTAGTTTATGAGATTTTTCATTGTTTAGAATTCTTTATTTAATTAGTCTAAACATTATTCGTAAAATTCTTCTATTTAGGAACGGTTTTTGACACATTTTGTTATGTTTTGATCTAGGGTTACTTATTTCTCATTAATTGCGAATTTATAAAAGTTAATATTTTACTTTATTTAATTCAAAGCCATTTTTAAGGGCATTACTTGATTAGTTTAATATTTTTCGCTGTCAAAAATGCAACTTAAACATAACAGTTTTTTGTCTTTTTCACAATATAGGGATATTAAATCGTTATGAAGTTAACATTTTAAGACTATTCCGTTTTTAAAATTATCTTATATTTATAATATTAATTGCAGATTTTCCCAATTTATATTCGGGATTATCCTTTAGTCGAATTATCGATTTGAATTCTATTGAGAGTCTTTTTCTTGAATTTGGAAGAGATTTTAATTTGAGGAATTGATTTATAATTTTAAATTTTGTGGATTTTTTTACTCTAACAATTCTATTTAAAAGTCTGTTATATTATTTGGACTATTTTTATTTGTTATTGAAAAAGATTTCGTTTTTTAGTTTAGAACTAATTCAATGTCTTAAAGAGAAGATTGCTTTTTATTTTATTTTGATAAATCTTACTCGGATGTGGTTATATTACATACACTAATGTTTTCTTATTTGTTTTATAATGGATTTTAATGAAAAATCTAAAGGCTTTAGTATTATTGTTGAATTTAGGAATTCTGCTTTTACGAAATTTATTATTGGATTAATTAGATTTAATTATTTACTTCTTTTATTATTTTTATTTTATCTTTTTATATATTTGAATTATTTATTGTTATGTTTATATTGCCGGTTGTATTGTTCTTTTTATTTTGGTTTTAAGTGCTTGTGGAAATTTATTTATCGTTTCGAGTACCCATGAGGTAGTTATTATTTTAAAGCATGAAGTTTATTTTAGAATCTGGACTTTATGTGCTAATATTTACATTTTCGTTTATAAATGAGCTTACTTTATTATCGAATAATTATATTATTTGTTTGCTAGTAGTTATACAATTTTTATTTATTTTATTACTTCCTTTTAATGAATTTGTGCGTTCTAATTATGGTTAATTTTTATGTTTAGGGGTGCTTTTTTTATTGTTTTTTCGATTATATATTAATGTTAATATAAATTATAATTATTATTTTTATTATTATTATTATTATTATTAT